CCCCAAAACCCCAAAACCCCAAAACCCCAAAACCCCAAAACCCCTATTTAGGTGAACAAATTGAGATGCCATTAATAGCAAATAAAATATAATGGAAACCTGGACAATAGATCATCAAACTAACTCTGATACTCAGACTCAAGGTAGGCATACACAAAAGCAAAATTTAGCTGAATCTTTAATTAGACTTAAATTTGTAAAAATCTCATACAAAATTGACAACATTTTCTAGACCAAACAAGCGAAATGGAGTCCCAAACTTGCTTTAAACAAACTATCCAAGAAGTAATTGAATTAATAAGCCAGATAAATAGTAGCCGAGCTGAGTCTAAACTTGATGTTCCAGGCACAAAACCAGAAGTTATAGCTCCAAAGCCTGATTTGGTCACCAGCGACATCATTTCTACCGAGGAGAATAAATTTAACAAAGATCTGAAATTAAACAATTTGAATTCTGACTCGGAATATTCAGAATCAACTGAGTGAAGTGATGAATCTCCCCAGAAAGGAAGAAGTCTGGATGCAGCAAAGTGTAAACCTAACCAAGCTACCTTCAAAGCACTCTCTCGTAGTCTATTGAAGACCTTGCAAGCTAGTGAGTTAGAGAGCATAGATGATGACATCATTTCCTCTTTGAAACTCCTTAGAGAGAAAGAAGTGTACTCTCCACCAATCTACTTTTCAAGACATGGTCAGAGTATTTACAACACAAAGGAGCTCATTGGAGGAGACTCCTTACTCTCCGAGAAAGGAAAACTTTATGCACAAGGACTTTCTAAATTGTTCAAAAATTCTGAAGAGAATTCAAACTTCACCAAGAAGTACTGCTCAACTCTCAAAAGGACTCAACAGACTATCTCCTACCTTGATGATCTAGGAGAGGGAGAACCTACTGTTAAACCTGAAATCGATGAGATCAATGCTGGGATTTGTGACTCAATGACCTATGAACAGATTGAAGAAAAGTATCCTGAAGAATTCCAACTTAGGAAAAAGGATAAGCTGAATTATAGATACCCTGAAGGAGAAAGCTATATTGATTTAAACAAAAGGCTCCAGCCTTTCCTTAAAGAAGTAGAGTCAGCTACTTCTCCTGTGTTAATAATCAGCCATCAGGCTACTTTGAGATGTGTCCATTCACACTTGAGAGGACTTCCTGCTAAAGAGATCCCTTACATTCAAGTTCCTCTTCACTCTCTTGTAAAATTTGAAAGATCAGCATTTGGCTATAAAGAGACAGTCTACAAGTATGATACTGAAAGTAAGACCTTCAAAACAGAGATTCACAAGGTAGACCATCTTGAATCTCTCTTGGAGACCTTCGAGTCAACTCCCCAACTAAAACAACAAAGCGACCAGGACTGTCTACCTCAATTGGTAGAGGCATAACACAGTGTAGCTAAATTATTCCTTGTCATTATTTCTGGTTTCAACACTTGCTATTCTAACAGGGGTTTTGGGGTTTTGGGGTTTTGGGGTTTTGGGGTTTTGGGGTTTTGGGG